ACATTGAGTTTTAATAGAATTTAATTTATGTTATATTATATTTTGTGGGTAAATTATATAATCATTATAATTATAGACAAATCCCACTTATTTTAAAAATTACAGAAACCTCGAACATTATGATAAATTTTCCATTTTAATCATTTCTCTTTTGTTGAATATATAAATATATTTTGTCTCTCTTTCATAATTTTAATTTAGAGAAAAAAAAAGGTTATTTTAGTTTAAAGAGATTTATTTTTATTTTATCTTAATCATATTTTTGAAAATTATATTCTCATTTGGAAAAAATAACAGTACATGATCTAAAATACTTACTACATTGATGCCAAGCTTAGCATAGTATCAGTCTAAAAAATAAAATAAAAAAATTGAGAAAATGTCCCAAAACCAAGTGATATTTCTCGATCATAGAAGAAAAATTTATTAAATTTTAAAAAAAAATCTTAAATTATAAATATTATAATAAGATATCTTTAAGAAAAACGAATGATTGATTTCATCTTACTCAACATTATAAAAGAGTAAATCGTATGAAATAAGAAGAAAAGAAAATACATTTTAAATATGATGTAATAAAATCTCAAATAATGCAAAATAAAGGTAAAAGCAAGGTTGGAAACAACGTTGACTGTAAATTAAGGACGAGAATATAAGTCTAAAAGGATGTAAAGATAAGAGACGAGAACTACAATTTTCCCTCAATTTTATCGTAACTCTACGAGAATCCTCATTGAATATTTTGAATATCTAGCAATGGATTTTTTCTTATCAAGGTATACCCTTCATAATTCTAAAAAATTTAATCAATGGATATTTTTCAAATCGAATGAAGCTACAAAAATATCCATGCAACTAAGTCTAAATTTATTAAGAATTAGAATTATTTCTATTACAATAGTGTCTTCTTATGTCTACAAGTGTGTAAATACTTGTTATTTGATATCTCATCAATTGTTGATCATACGCGTGAGAATCCATTTCTCAACCTATTATCTTGAATTTTTATTTTTATGAACTTAAATAAAAATTATTTTTAATACCTATAAAAAAAGACCAAACTTAAGCCCTTGCTTGGGTAAATTAAAATTAGATTGTTAGTATATTTTAATAAAAGTTGATTATACGTGTAGTTGAAAAATCGTAAATTCCAAAAAATATATAATTAAAATTAATTAAAAAATTTATCAATTTTTAATCTACACAATTAAATCAATATGCAGCATAACCGGAATCAGATACGAAGGCTGCACGTGCCGCCAAACTACACTCAAATTATGAGCTGGATTGACTCAATAGAGAGTGACGGTGGTACCGACCACCCGCGCAATCTCTAAATAAAACAAAAATTATGAAAATTGAGATTACCCTATATTCCTTCACACGAATTGACATTTACTAGTTATATTCACACCAATTTGGTAGTAGTTGAATCACATTTTAATTTTATTCATTGTAATATTTATGTTCTTAAATTTTCGTGAATTATTATCTTGAACCCTCCATCATTTGTAAACCTATCATTGATTATTATATCTATCAAAATTTTTTGTGCGTATGATTCGAAACGAGAAAAAATATTTCATCGTACTTTTGCATTTATTTATATTAAAATATAATGAAAAGGTAAGTCATTTTATGCCTTCCCAGTTGACCTTTGGACATAAATCGATATAATCAGAAAATGAAATGTGTTAATTAATGAATGATTGAAAATAAGAATGAGTTTTACAAAAGGTTGAGAATATAAATGTTATAACGAACAAGGATTGAAGACTTTAAGTATAGTTAACATATGGTGTAACTAATAAGAGATGTGGCGTATTCTCATTTTTCAAGGGCATTTGCGCTTGTCACATCCATGCTCGATATGTTGTTCCATCAGCATACGGATCGCTAACTAAAAAAGAGAGCTTGCTAGTCTCTAACATTTCATTATAACTATAAAGTGAGTCCTAAAAAAACGAAAACTATAAATCTAAATCAAATTGTCAAGTAATCCTTGCATACTTAATTTTAGGATAATTAGTATAATACGTCCTATCGTTTGCCTGTTTAGTAGAATACTTTTAAAATTTACATTTTTATGCAAAACGCCCATAAATCACCCAAACGTTGAGGAATTCTCTCTGCAGTTTCTATTCATTACTTTAGGCGTTAAAAATAGTGAAAAGGGTGAAAATCAATAAAATTTTATAGGGTGATGTTAGAGAGGTATTCAATAAAACAAGAGAAAGTTAGGAGTTTTATACCGATTACCTTTAATTTTATAAATTTTTTTCCGTCATTAGTATTTAACGATTTGAAGTTAAACCTATTTTCACGAGGACAACGTGAATTGAGAACTAATGTGTAACTACAAAGAATGATTATGATTAATTTACCTTTTTTCTTTCAAAGGTTGAGGATTATCTCGCTACTGAAGCAATAAATTGGGGAGCAATGATGCAATAAATAAACAAATATTCGGATAAATAATAATAATAATATTTTTATTTTTGCTTGAAAGATAATACAGCACCCAAATTTTTAAAAGGCTGCCGATTTGGAGCCTTCCAACGCCTTGCATTTCAAGTGACACCTAACGCACAATATTTATACCCACGCGGCCACGCCCCTTTCCCACGGCCACCACTCCACCACCGTACTCCGTCTTCTCCCTCCCTCTCTCTATCTGTCTCTCTCTCTCTAAAACACGCACACATTATAATCAACATTATTGCAATAATAGAATCACAATCTTATACTCCAGCTGCATTGCTAGTAATACTGAGCGGTAAGAAGAATTGTTGTCATACACACTTGTGCGTGACTCCCTGTGCGTATTTGATCTTTCAGCTGCTTTGAATTTTTATTAGATAATGGCATCGCGGGGAGATTGAGATTGTACTGACTTTTGCTTTCATATAACTCAGCGTTCTGCTTATTATTATTATTATTTTTTTGTTTAAATCTGTTTTTCAGTATATTTTTCCCGGGTTTGATTGGTAGAGTAAATTTTATTTTAATCATTTTTCGTTTTCAGTTTTGCTTGAAATTCACATTTGTGCCTCATTGCTTCAGAGGTCTTGTAAATCAATTTTTACTTTGGTCAAAAACTACAGTAGTTTCTCTTCATTCCTGTTGATGATCAATAATTTTTTTCCTCTGATTTCAATTTTTTTTTTTTT